ATAATAATAATAATAGCATTCACATTATAGCCCTGGGCTCCTTCTCTTCCCATATCACTTTCCACTCTATGTCCTCTGTCTTCTAGTACATGGGCCCCGTATTAGTCCATTTTCTTGCTGCTATGAAGAAAAACTTGAGACTAGGTAATTAATAAAGGAAAGAGGTTAAACTGACTCACAATTCCACAGGGCTAGGGAGGCCTTGAGAAACTTAGAATCATTGCGGAAGTGGAAGCAAACTTGTCCTTCTTCACACGGCTGCAGGAAGGAGAGTCCTTAGTAAAAGGGGGAAGCTCCTTACAAAACCTTCAGCTCTTGTGAGAACTCACTTATCACAAGAACAACATGAGGGTAACTGCCCCATGATTCAATTACCTCCCATGAGGTCCCACCCCCAACACATGGGGGTTACAATTTGGATTACAATTAAAGATGAGATTTGGGTGGGGACAAAGAGCCAGACCATATCAGGCCCTGTGTGGTTGGCAGAATAATGGCCCCCCCAAGATACCTGCCCTCTGATCCCTGACACCTGTGAATATGGCACATTACATGGCAAAAGGGGCTTTGCAGGTAGAATTAAGGATGCAGATCTTAAAACGGGGAGAATATCCTGGCTGATTCATGTGGGTCCAGTGTACTCACATGCACTCTTAAAGACAACAGAGGGAGGCAGACAGGCCATAGAGAGTGGAAGAGGTGGGAGAGAGTCACAGTGCAAGAGGGGCTCTTTCCATGGGTGCTGGCTGTCAGGATGAGATGGACCATGAGCCAGGGAGGGCAGGTGGCCTCCAGATGCTGAAGGCAACCCCAGCCAGCAAGGAAACAAGGACTTCATTCCCACAAACCCACACAGCTGGATTCTGCCAGCAACCCCAATGAGCCTGGATGTGGATTCTCTCCCAGAGCTCAGCCCTGTTGACACCTTGATTTTGGCCTTGAGAGATGAAGTGCAGAAGCCAGCAGAGCCTGTGAGATTTCTGAGCTCCCCCGGGAAGTGTAAGATAATACACTTGTCTTGTTTTAAACTATACAAGTAGCAGTTTATTCTGGCAGCCATGGGAAACATTGCCCCTATACGTCCTTATTTGCATGCCTTCTTGCGTGCTGATGCTGCTGTGGGGAACACCTGTTCTCTAGCTTGCCACTAAGTTAAAATCTCACCTGTCCTGGAAGGCCCAGCTTCCATGGCCATCCCTGAGCAACACTGCCCTGCCCCTGATGACACAGCAGAATGAATTACATTCTTCTCTGTGCTGGAAGAATTTTGCTTCTATCTCAACATAGTGCACGTGCTGAGTGGTTAGCATCTACGCAATGGTCGCCTTTTGCTGCACTCTGACCCTTGTCCCTAGCCCAGTGCCTGATAGTCTGTCAATCAGGTATTTATTGGGAGACTATGTTGTGCCACACAGACGTGTCATAGGTGCTAGGTATACAGGGCTGCCTAAATCAGACCCAGGGCCTTTCATTCTGTCCTGGACCTCCTAGGCTACACATATTCACTGCCTCATAAACATCTGCTAAGTTAATTAAACTAAGACCTCCTGGGGACAAGGAAGCTATAATCACCAGGAAGCAGGATTAGTCTGGTCCCTCTGTCAGGGCAGCCTCATGTGTATGCACACACGAGTCTTCTGCACCGTGGACCATCTGCCGTCTGCGGGTAGATGTGGGGCACCGGGAATGCTCATCGTGGGGTTGTGTTTGGTTCAGCCATGATTTGCCTGGGCCATAATAGAGTGCTGCTTTCCTTTTTCTCCTCAAACTTCCTTTTTATAAAGTGACTGCGATAACATTTACACACATTGTTTCTAAAAGGCTTTTTTCACATTCGTCATGACGTTTAATCTTGATGACAGGGACATGGATGAACCTGGAAACCATCATTCTCAGCAAACTGACAGAAGAGCAGAAGATCAAACACCGCATGTTCTCACCCATAGGCGGGTGTTGAACAAGGAGAACACATGGACACAGGGAGGGGAGCACTACACACTGGGGTCAGTTGGGGGGAAATAGGGGAGGGACGGTGGGGGGTGGGGAGCTGGGGAGAGATAGCAAGGGGAGAAATGCCAGATGTAGGTGATGGGGAGGAAGGCAGCAAATCACACTGCCACGTGTGTACCTATGCAACAATTTTGCATGCTCTTCACATGTACCCCAAAACCTAAAATGCAATAAAATAAATAAATGGGGAAAAAATATCTTGATGACAAACCTAGGGTGCACGCGGAAGTAAAGCAAAGAAAATGTTTGATGGATTATAATTGCATAGCTGTTTTATTCAGTCTTTCCCGCTGGAAAGTCCCTACTAATATAAGTTAATCATTAGCCAAGCTGCTAATTGGCTAGCCTTTTTAAAAAAATATAGGCATTTACAAAAAATAGCTCAAGCTAAGTTTTGCTTATGTTTGCAAATCAGGCAAGATCTAAATCTCTTAGGAGGCCTAACTGGCTTTGTGTTTGCTCAGTAGAGTATCCAACCACTTCTGGCTTGGAGCTGTTTGGATTGATGTTTTTACGAATAAACTCTAAACTTTTATGGTACCTCGGTTTACCGTTTAACAGAGGCCTCAGAAGAAATCCACCCTGCTGACCCCTCGATCGCAGACTTCTAGCCTCCAGAACTGTGGGCAGATAAATGCCTGTTAGTGAAACTGCCCAGTCTGTGGGTCTTATGGCAGCCCAAGCAAATGAACCTACTTGCCTGTGGCTTTATTTAAGTTCCCTTCCATTCCTGGCCTCTCTGACCCCTACTGTCTACTTTAATCGCTGTGACCAAGTCCCCATCTCCATGGTACAGGTGGGGGCCAGGCTGGCTCAGCAGGGCCTTGAGCTGGCACGGGGTAGCCCCAAGGCTGAAGAGTCACCAGTGATGAACAGAGACACAGAGAGTAAATTAAGTCGGGCTGAGCTGGAAGCTGGAGTGTGCCGGGAAAGAGGCCGAGGTTTCCAGCTGCTTGCCCCAGCGGTTACCTCTGTGCGCAGTTGACCTTGCTAGCCAGAGGTGAAGCAGCCTGGCTGGGAAAGCTAGGAGGAGATTCCCCCCCCCAGCTGCGGTGACATCTTTCCTCATGCTCTTTTGAGTCATGATTCACACATTTCTCTTTTTTCTGCTGGGAGCCTTTTACAGGCTGGGACTGCTTCTTCCTTAAGGGCCTCCAGGATGCACTCTGTACCTCAGCATCCAGCACTGCTCGGGACACAGTAACTCCCTGTAGATGCAGGTTGAACAAAGAGATCAATGAGGAAATCAGTTTGCAACTACCACTTTCCTTTCAGTTTTACGACTTTCGTCTGCAATGCACAATCGGTTTGGTGGAATGACCAGCCAAGATGGCAAAGCCAGGAGGAATTTGCAGCAGAGATTTTTACCCTCATTTTCGGTTTAGTGGGGTCAGGTAACCTGAGGGTGATGCTGGAGGACAGCAGATAAAAACATTCTTGCTTCCGAAGGTTTCAAGAGCTCTGGAGACAGGTCAGGCACGAAAACTGTGAAAATGATGGCTTGTCCTGTAGAACTCTACAAGGAAGAATTGGGCTGAGTAAATTATTGAATCGCAACTTTTCTTTTTTTTTTTTCCAGTGGGAAGCTGAACATTTCAGAACAGCTATTATTATCACTAAAAAAATAGATGTCTAAAATTTATAGTGCTCTGTTTAGAGATTGGAAGATCTAGGCGTTAATAACTTAAACTATTTTCTAATTCTATAAAATAAGACTAATGATGTATCTTTTTTGTGATCCCTTTTCTAAGATTAAAACCTTTGATGGGGAAAATGTTCGTTGCTGCTCCTATTTCGAGGCCTGGGTGAATTACTTTACCGTCTCTGTCTGTGACAGACCCCTGAGTCCACTGCAAAGTTCTACCTTCCCATTTATTGGGTTTCCTAGATTTTCTAAATATATTGATTTAACTCTAATGGTTTGATTTATTCCAGAACTTTATTCACTAACTGCACGGCACTGCACTTTCTTACACAAGGGAGTTCTTTCATGGTTGACAGTGGAATTATTGTCAATCATCAACAGGAATACATGAACATGTCCTGTTTATAGTTCCGTAGGTAGAACTTGGATAATATGAGGGATCCTGACTTGTTTGCATGAGGCTCCCAATGAGGATGAATGGTTGAAATTTTAAGTGTAATTCAGTGGATAAGCAAGAAATAATCGTTCAGAGGATCATTCCCCAAAGTCCGCTTATTGTGACCCAGGATTAAAGTAAGTGGCGAAGTCAACAAAAATACCAACGTCCAAATATGGATCAAGCCTCCCCCCTCTGAACTACCCCCACCCCCACTCCAAACTACACCTCTCCCACTCCTGGAGCTTCATTGTGGCCGGAGGCTGCTGTCCCAGGCCATGCTGCAGCCTTAGACACTGCCCACTCATGAGACAGACCTGTGTTGTGTCTCAGCACACAGCGTAATGTGCGACTCCTTCTGCAAATATCACTCTAGTTTCAATATGGCTCTTCCATAATTTAACCTGAATGACTGATGTTGATTGTATTCAGCGATGGGGGAGAGAAACTAGAGAACAAAAAGAAGAGCTGCTTCTTGCTCTTTTCTCCCTCCTCAGCCAGCCTGATGCAGAAGGTCAGCTCCTAGAGGAGTGAGCAGACCAGGAGGCCTTCAGCATCCACTCGTGGACGACTTAACACTTACGTGGTAGCACCACGCAAAGTTCGTGAACATAAAAGCAAATCACATTGGATCCTCTCCCCCAGTTGAGATGAGCAGCATGCAGGGCAAGGGACAGCCACCCCCACAGTGCAGCGAGCTGTGTGCTGCTGCAGAAGGGGGACAGACATGCCTAGGGGCAGGGGAGAGAGAGAAGGGCGCATGGGAGGTGGGTTTGATGGCTGAACAGGAGTTTCCTAGAGCCTGGGGAAAGGAAGTGTGGGTAGGACAGAAACAAATAATACTAGAGTTCTGTGTCACAAATGGTGGACGGTCAGCATGGCTGGTGGGAGGGGCCGTGCAGCACCCAGTCAGCAGTAAGTCTGGGTGGGCAGCTTGGGGGCAGACCGTGAATGGGCTTTCTTGTGTGCATGGCTCTGGCCAGGCATAATCACGGTTTTCAAGGGAGGACTTGATTGAAATAGATCAGATTCTTCTAACGTGGAGCTCAGGAGGGAGACCAGGTATGGGGTGGCTGCGAAGCGCCTGCCAGAAATGGTGAGGCCTGGGGTGAGAAGAAGAGGCTGGACCCAAATGGAGAAGCTGGACCCAAAAGACATGCTTAGGGAGAAGTGACTGCAATTTGGGAGGGAGTGAGAGGGGAGACCTGCAGCTTCTGATTGGAGTGCTGGGTGGATGGTGACCCTGCACCCAGAAAAGCAGTCACAGAAGGTCCAGCGGGCTGGTGGGGAAGCCGGCGGAAAGGCCCCCAAGGCATCTGCCTGCCTTCTCTGCTTTTCACCCCTTGCCCTGCCCTCGTCAGCCTTGTAAGCCTTGGTGAGCATCTGGGAACTGCCGGGAGAGGCAGAGCCATGGCCCAAGCGTTGCCCAGCTCGGAGGGGTGCCCAGGAGGAGTGTGGCCTGGAGAAGCCTGCCCACGCCTCCTTCTGTGGGTGCCAGCGGTGGCTTGGGCTGGTGTTCCCACGCTTGTGCATTCTGTCAGCCTGTGCCAGTCCACGGTACAGCGGCTGGGTCTCACCGGAGCAAGGACATTTGGAGCTTCCTGCTTTCCTCTTTTCTTTAGACAAGGCATATGGCAAACTCAGTCCTTCCCCAGCTGCTTCTGGGAGAGAGGGATCTGTGCCTGGAAAGCGTATCACGAAGAGTTGGCTTTTCTTAAAACACTCACATTTCTTTCCTAGCAGAGTTGTCATTTTCTGCCGTCTGGGCTCTGGTGACCGTGTGGTCTGACTCCACAGATGTCAGAAACTCAAGTTTCTGCAAAGACTTTCACTTCTCAGGTTCCAAAGGCTCAAAAAGCTTCCCGTCGTCTGTGTTCATGGACTTAAATTTCATGTTGTCAAATGAGTATCAGGTAACGGCAGAAATAACACGTATCACACATTTATTGATTTATTTCCCTTGGATTTATTTACTTTAGAACACCATTACCCAAAGCAGAGCTCTTGAAACTCTAGTTCTACAACATGATCTTTGAAAAATGGGTTTCATTTCCAGATGCTTGGAAAATATTGAATTCCCGACGCTCCTCTTGCACATCCATTCTCAACTCACAGTAAAGGCTCTGAGAAGGCCTGCATTATAACATTGTGCAGACAGGGTCTCCTCAAGTTGTCATGCATGAAATCCTAGACTCTGCTTAGTGGTTTTTGTTTTTATTCTAAATGCATTTTGAACAGCCAGTGTACCGACTTCCATGAAGGCTGCCCTAAAATGCACAAACGATGCAAGACTTTCTAAGTCATGTTGTTGAGTTGTAGAAGAGGAAGAAATTTGGAAAATGGGCTGCAGGCTTTTCCTAGCCCTAAAGGGAAGATCTCACTCTTTTTCCATTGATCTCCCTTTTCCATTTTTACTTTGCCTCTAATTAATTTTTCTTATTGCTCTTCACCCCATTTCTTGGTGTTCTGCCTCAGATGAAAGTAGGGTGATTAGTTCCTTATCTCCCTTTTAAAGGAATTTCATCTGGCTTCCAGCTCAGGGGCTAATTATGGCTTTATGGATTTCCTTCTTTGAAATACATCTACGCTAAACACTGCCAGCTTCTCACTCACTTCAGGGTAAAGTGGGAAGCTCTGTAGGCCTAATTCTTCCCCTTCTCTGTAGAGTCATACTATTCATGATGAAAAGGGGGAGAGGCGGCTGGGTGTGGTGGCTCATGCCTGTAATCCCAGCACTTTGGGAGGCTGAGGCGGATGGATCACCTGAGGTCAGGAGTTTGAGACCAGCCTGGACAACATGGTGAAACCCCATCTCTACTAAAAATACAAAAAGTTAGCCAGGCATGGTGGTGGGTGCCTGGAATCCCAGCACTCTGAGAGGCTGAGGTGGATGGATTACGAGGTCAGGAGCTCAAGACCAGCCTGGCTGAGATGGCGAAACCCCGTTTCTACTAAAAATACAAAAATTAGCCAGGCGTGGTGGCGTGTGCCTGTAATCCCAGCTGCTTGGGAGGTTGAGGCAGAGAATTGCTTGAACCGGGGAGGCGGAGGTTGTAGTGAGCCGAGATCACGCCACTGCACTCCCAGCCTCTGGGAGACAGAGCGAGACTCTGTCTCAAAAAAAAAAAAAAAAAAAAAAAAGATATTTTTTCCAGGAATGTTTGGCTCCTTTTCCACAGCTTCTCATCTTGACCTTGGTATTTATTCTTAAGTTGATTTATCTGGTTCTGGACCTCTTGAACAGCAGTGGTTTCTACCTCAGCAGTACTGAAGAACAAAAACTCCCAGAGGCGAAAGTATCTGTCAGAGGAAGTAGCCACCACCAGTTCCTCTTGGTAAAAGATGCATTTTGAGGTTGTCCAGTCACTTGGCGCCTGGAGGGTGATGGTGACTGGTTTCCAAGCTCTGATTTCTGAATGCTGTCATTTTGCATCCCCGTCCTTATTCTTGAAGTTTGTTGGGTCCATTTCTGAGGAGTTTTATGATATCCTGAGCTCAGCACTGAAGGTTGCTTATCATGAGCTGTGAAGTTTTGACTTTGTGATGACTGCCAGAATGATTCTGTATATTGACTAGATGATCTGCTGGTTTGATCTCCGGATTCATCAGAATCCCCGGATCTGGCCCTAGCAGCAGTGGCCCTGCTGTGAGAGCCATCTTGATCATCTTCTTCAGTTTCTTCTTCAGAGAAACTGACCTTCTATTGGACACTGGTGGCTTCTAATTCATTCATTTTCATATTTCCATTTGTTTTGTATGTTGAATCAGATTCTTGGGCTTCATAAGCCGGGGCTGACATAAGTGGATGACAAGATCTTCACTCACCACTGGAGCCTCTTGTGTGCCCCTGACAGTGTTCTTTGAGATGGTTTGGCTTAAATCACTTTGGGAAGATGGTTTATCATCTTCAGAGGAATGAGAGTCCCACAGGCCACTCGTGGTTGTCGTGGGAGACGGCTGTGGCGGAGGCTGCTGTGAATGCTGCTGCTGAAGGCAGGTAGCCCTTCGTGTCTTCATCTCCTCGGCTTCCTGGGGTCGCGGCTGCCTCCGCTGCCTAGGCTGAAGGTAGTACGTGCTTTCTCTCACTTCCGGGGTTTTCTAAATTGACATCTAATTCTTTTTCCCAGGCTTTACTCAATAAGGCCAATCATGATAAATCATGGAAAATAGAGCCCTCACATCAGCGTTATCAATTCACCAAGCACGGCTAGCACTTTTTACTTTGTTTTGGAGATCCAAAAATGCTTCTGGGCTAGACCCTCAAATAGCAGAGTGAGCAAGAGGTTCCGGGGGGAACTTAGAGGTCTGGGTCCCGGTTCCCAGCCCCCCACTTCCTAGTGATGAGCTCCTGAGTCACTACCAAATGCCCAGTGCTAACATGGACTGAGAGTTTACCAGGTGCCCGTCGAAGTTCAAAACCCCTTTCCTGCATCTCCACTGTGGACATGGGACAGTGAGGTGACAAGAGGAGCTCAGTCACCAGCGAACCTCAATTTCATCTGTGCAGTAATAACGCCTCTCTCCCATCCCAGCCGGTGGGATTATTGGAAGCTTGCGTGACATTGAGTGTCTAGAAAGTGCTTTGAAAGCTGCAGCATTCTGGTGGATGAAAGTAGGAGGCCCTCATATTCTCACTTAAAAGCTTCTGGTTGACACCTGATTTCTCCCCTTTGCAGGAAGCTGACAAGAAGCATGCTGCTGAGTGATCCTGGATTCCCATCCCCCACACCCGCACACCCACGTGTGGGCCCAACCAGTGAGGAGAAGTCTAATAGGCAGGAGGAGGGGAGACACAGGGAGCGTCCGTGGTAAGTCACGGGAAGCCACCTGCACTCTGACTTCTTTTAGCTTCCTCGATATTTTGTAGGGGGGGGTCCCATGACTGACGTGGGGGTTAGAATGGGAAGGAAAGGTCCCTCTCCTCCCATCTGGAGGTGTTGAAGCAGCACTGGGCAGAGCCCAGGGTGGTACCTCTGGGGCTATGGCGGGACAGGGGTGTTTGGTGGGCTGGAAGCCCCTTTCCCCAACAAAACATCTCTGACCTGGTTTAAAACCTTGGAGGTCCACACACACATTTCATGGGACCACAGGCGTGTGCTACCAATTACGAGTGCAGCTAATTTCATTATTTTTATTTTTTAAATAGATACGAGGTCTTGTTGTGTTGTCCAGGCTAGTCTCGAACTCCTGAGCTCAAGGAATCTTCCCGCCTTGGCCTCTGAACGTGCTGGGATTGTAGGCGTGAGACACTGTTACATTTTATTAAGGTTCTGTTTGCTTCCGCATCTTGGTCCAACTCCCAGCACGGTCAGTCATCAGCAGGTTTGTTTCTCTTATGTCACTGTGTGTTCCTGAAGGAGAAATATTTTATTTTTTCCTTGTGCCCGCCGTCAAAGGATGACCAACTTTTTAAGCTTTCACTCCAGAATTGATAGGCGTCCAGTCAATGCTCTCCCTTGCAAATGGTCCCACAGCTACCTTCTCTTCAATGTACCTTTTTTTTTTGAGATGGAGTCTCACTCTGTTGCCCAGGTTGGAATGCTGTGGTGCAGTCTTGGCTCATTGCAACCTCTGACTTCCGGGTTCAAGTGATTCTCCTGCCTCAGCCTCCTGAGTAGCTGGGATTATAGGTGGCTGCCACCATGCCTGGCTAATTTTTTGTATTTTTAGTAGAGACAGTGTTTCACCATGTTGGCCAGGCTGGTCTCGAACTCCTGACCTCATGATCAGCCAGCATGACCTCCCCAAGTGCTGGGATTACAGGCTTCAGCCACTGCACGTGGCCCAATGTACCTCTTTTGACAGATCTCAGGGTACACAAAAATCTCCTCAAATGCAGAAAAGTCTTTGGGTGTGAATTTATTTTTCAGTGCATCAAAAAATCATTTAGCACTAGGAAGATAGCCTCTCTGACAGGAACGGTGTGTGCCTTGAGAGAATGGATTCCTTGAGAGGGTCAGAGATTATTCTGAAGGCTTCTGAACATGACAGTGGTGCTATGCGGGTTGAAAACAATCAGTTCTGTTATTTCAGAATTCTACTTTCTGCTTCCTTCCTAACCATAGCTGACTCAGCCTCACTGTGGCTGGGATTACAGGTGTGTGCATGTACCTGGGCCCCACCACATCAGTTATTGCATTTGATGACAAAATACAGAGATTATAAAACAATTTCACTATGTCTAATTCCGCGTACTGGGCGGTTCTGTGAAGGAACAGGCAGGCCTTGGGTCTGAGTTGAAAACGGGCTGAAGTTCAGTCTCTCCAAGCACTGGTTAGCTGCATGCAACACAGCACTTCCATGGATGCTGTATTCTGAAGAAGTCAGGATCACTAGCAACAGACAGAAAGACACCCTGGGTACGGCCTGCAATCCCAGCACTTTGGGAGGGATGGCTCAAGTCCAGAAGTTTGAGACCAGCCTGGACAATATAGAAAGACCCCTGTCTATACAAAAAATTAAATTAAAAAAAGGCCACCCTGGGCAACATAGAGAGACGCTATTTCTATGAAAGGGATCCCCCCTCCTTTTTTTTTCTGAGACAGGGTCTCACTCTGTCACCCAGGCTGGAGTGTAGTGGCACCATCTCGGCTCACTGCAACCTCCCAGGTTCCAGCGAGTCTCCTGCCTCAGCCTCCTAAGTAGTTAGGATTTCAGGAGTGCACCACCACGCCTGGCTAATTTTTGTATTTTTAGCAGAGATGGAGTTTCACCATGTTGGCCAGGCGGTCTTGAATTCTTGGTCTCCAGTGATTTTCCTGCCTCAGCTTTCCAGGTAAGTAGGATTATAGGTACATACTACCTAACCTAGTTTATACCAAATTTTTACATTGAAATTTTTATTCCCTTCTCTGGGAGAAATACAGAAAGGACTAAAACACAGTGGTTTTCACTTGTTTGCATGTTGGAAGTGAGACTGCCTTTAGATCCTCTTTTCCAATATTACTATAAATTAAACTAAAGTGACCAACTTTCCTACCAAGCTTACTGCACTGTCTAAAGGCCCTTGTGGTCTAAAAGCCAAAGGCCAAATCATATGTGTTAAAGATAAATGGTGCCATTATTATGATGTGGGTGTTCACCATGTTTAGGCAGTGTGTTTAGTTTTACTTTGTTTATTCACTTAACACCTGCCTGGAGTGCCTGTTACACCTCAGGAACTGTGACAGGCACTGGGGAAGCAGAGGTCAGTAAGATCCATGGAGGAGGCTAGTAGTAAAGACAGAAATTAAGACAAACAGACACAAAAATGCCTGAGAATTGGTCGGGCACAGCGGCTCACACTTGTAATCCCAGCACTTTGGGAGGCTGAGGTGGATGGATCATTTGAGGTTAGGAGTTCGAGACCAGCCTGGCCAACATGGTAAAACCTCGACTCTATTAAAAATACAAAAATTACCTGGGCCTGGTGGCGGGCACCTGTAATCTCAGCTATTCGGGAGGCTGAGGCAGGAGAATCACTTGAACCTGGGAGCAGAGGTTGCAGTGAACCAAGATCACGCCACTGCACTCCAGCCTGGGTGACAGAGCGAGACTCAGTCTCAAAAGAAAAAAAATGCCTGAGAATTGTTGTGTTACCAAAAAGAACGCACAGAGTGCCACAGGAGTCCTCCAGCATTTGGCTGCACCGGCTTTCCATACGCTTTGCAACAATGCTCTTATCATGCCCACTGCACAGGTGGGAAACTGGGGGCTTACAAAACTTGGTTTTGTAACCTCTTGCTCCATAAATAGGCTTGTTGACCAAACTCTACATGTTCTTACCACCCCATCTCCTCCCTGGCTTGGAACTTCCGAGCTTAAGATTCCAGATGGACCTTTATTTTTGAGACCTTAGAATCGATTTAGGTTTATATGTTCCAGAATGCACTAGAAATGTCAGGAAGGGCACAGCCCTGGGTGAATGGGGGTGCGTTGTGCGAAGAATTTTGTAGGAGAAGCCAGCTCAACGGTGAAAGGTGGTGATCATTTTTCAAGTGTTCTTGGTTTTCCATATGTCATAAAGTTGCATTATTCAGGAATAACCCCAAATCAAATTAAAACGTCTCTGAAAACATGAAATGAAAAGCTAACTGATGCGTGCTTACAAATGGTTGCCGTGCCTTCCCTGTGGCCTCAGGGCTGGAAGTCTGTGTTTTCTCAGAGGTGACCAGGGACCATCCAAACACAGCTTCCTTGTTAATGTGACGTTCTCTTAACCAGCAGAGACGCTTCTGGTCTCATTCAGAGAATGAATTCCTTCATTATCTGGGAAGGTGTGGTCCCACCTACTTACAGCAATGACGGGCCACCTTCATCCTAACCCATAGGGTACAACTGGCCACAGCCTTGCCTATCCGTGTAACTCACAATTGTCATGCTATAGCCACGTGGGCCACCCTGGCTTGGGCCATGTTTCCTTGGCTCCCTGGGAGGGGCGGTGGTTATAACCATGTTCTGTAGTCCCAGTGAAGTACCCCAACCATGTGGGGAAAAGTCAGCATGTTTTTTGGGGCAAGATCAGCGCACATGGGCAGGGTATCCCAGCAATGAAGCAGTGGTGTGCCTCCCAGGGACCCCAGGACAGTAGCCATGCTGCTGGTACACGCCTCAGACTCTAGGCAGCAGCCGCTACCTCCAGGGTTCAATTCCCAGTTCCGCATCCCACTCTGTTCTCCCACGCTTCACCTCGCTCCAGAAGAAAGCTTTGTTTAATGCTCCAGCAAACTGCTGTGGGCCTGGAAAGCCTTCTAGGCAGAGGCATTCTAATTAGTATTGTGGCTTTGCTGGGAAATCCATTTTTCAGGTCTCAAAAAACTTCTGATGATTCTCTAACTTTTCATAAGGGTCCCTGGGCCATCTCAGCTATGAAGCTGGTTCCACTTCGGTTTTTGAATCAGAAATGCAGGAATTTTCCGCTGGTGGCTGGAGCTGCCTCATGATGAGTGAGGAGCAGGTGAACTCTCCCGCCTCCCACCAGCACCAGCCTGGATCAGGAGGGGAGAAGGAACACACTTGCATGTTTTACAACCAGACCCCATGGCAGAAAAGGGCCCTCGATAGTGGGTCTTAAGATAGATGAAAGAAACAAAAAGGGCCCTCGCTTGCTGCACCCCCAGCCACTGCCCATGGATGTCATCAGTTCGTCCTTCCCCTCGTTTATTCAGTATTGCTCCAGCATCCCTCTGTGTGCCAGGCAGAGGCCTCTGTTGGGGTGCAGTGGTGCACCCTGAAGTCCCGTTCTGGCAGGGGAGACAGAGCATGGACAAATGAGCAAATGGACCCTGAAATGTCAGGTGGTAATGCTGCACCAGCAGGATCAACATCGGGGGGCTGAGGTGTGGGAGGTCGTGTGCATTAAACAGGGTGTCAGGGTAGGGGAGGTGGTCTCTCAGCAGAGAGCTGGGTGAAGTGAAGGAAAGCCCCATGAATATCTGGGAGATGTTCCTTCCAGGCAGAGGGAAGGGAAGGAGCAGGTCTTGGAATGACGTGGGCCTGGCCTGCGGAAGGAGCACCTGAAGGTTGGCATGGGGGTAGGGACTGGCTGCAGGGGACTTTGACCAGCAGCTCTGTCTTGGGACACAGTCTTTAATCTCTGATAAGTGGCCCTTATCCATGGAGCTATCATGGATAAATGCTTTCTGTAGTTATTTGTGGAGCACTGGGTTCTGTTCATTTCTACGAGAGCAGCCGCTCCCAATTGGGTGTGACTTTGCTTCCCACGGGACATTTGGCAAATCTGGAGACACTGCACAACTTGTGTGTGTGTGCAGGGGTGCTCCTGGCATCTAGTGGGTAGAGGCCAGGGGTCCTGCTAAGCATTTCATGGTGCACAGGACAGTCTCACAGCAAGGAATTAGCCAACCCAAAATGCCAAGTGAGCTGAGGTTAAGAACCCTGAGACTAAACAGGAGTGTCAGCAAGCACGGGGAAGGTTGCACATTTTGACTGACAGTCACTGGCACCAGGCTCTGGAGGGCCTTGTGGGGTGGTGGAAGGCATATGGGGAAAAGGTGCCTTGGCCTCTGTGAATCCTTCTCCCATGGGAGAGAAGCTTGCATGGCTCACAGGTGAGATATCCACCCCCAAATGATGGGGACAGAGCAGACCACTGCCTTGGACACTGCCTCGGCCTCTCATAGAGTTTAACAAAGACCAATGTCAGAGCCTGAGATCGTGAGCTCTGGCCTGGGATGGATGGATGGATGCTTTCTCCTTCTCTTTCAAGACCCAAGGCCACGGCTCGCCCATCTCACAGCAGTGTTCACTGGGCTAAGCAATGTGCGGACATTGACCCGTGATCTGCCCTCTGCTAGAGCCTATTTTCCAACATGGTAGCGCTGAGCAGTGAGCAGGAACATTCCTGGTGCAGGGTGGTTGCCTTTGCTGTGATCGGCCTGGAACGCTCCTTCCTCACTTCTCCTGCCCTTCCACCATCCGGGCCTCAGCTGGAACACTGTCCCCAGGCAGAGGCTGCTACCCCTCCAGGACGGTTCCCTCATCCTTGTTTTTATACCATTTAGCAGCTTAATTGAAAACAAGCTACTCAAATGAAGTGCTTGTAGTATAATTAAATTACTTTGGTCTTGGAAACAAAAAATGGAGGACCCTCCTCCCCAGGACAATTTTGGGGAAGAAGCTTCCGATTAAACCACCAGCACCCAAAGCTGAAATTCTACTTAAACGATTCCCTGATTTTTATACTTGGGGTACAATAAATGTACTTTAACTGCTCTGGTGGTATTGACATGTACCCAAGCCTGGCTGCTACCCCCCACTGCTGCAACTGGCCTCCTGCCCCTCAGAGCAGGATCCTAAGTCCCAGTCTCCCAGGCCCTTTCTCTGGGTCCTGCACCTTCCTTCTCCCCATCTTAATTAAAAAACAAAAAACAAAAAACAAAAAAACCTGCCCCGTGTCATAGGCCCCTCAGGTGCCGGCTCAATTGAGGTGTCCGTGGCTGGACAGAGGTCTGATGTGCTTGGCGCGGGAGGTGCTGGGTGGGAAAGAAGGAAG